GGAGGGGGCTAAAAAACATGGAAAAGTGTGGCAGATTCTAGAGGGATCAAACCACGTTGTGTCTCCTCAGTGCATCCCTGGACAGTACAAGTCTGAATAGAGTGGCATCAGGTTGCTTTTGCATTCTCCCAGCTCCCAGTAAAGAGGAATTGGACTGCTCTTGCAAACCTTCTTCAGAGTTATTAAAATACAACCACCCCACTGCTGCCAGCTTTCCAGCCAGTCAGGGAAGTGCTTCATGTCAACCAGGAGGAGCTGCTAGAGAATGAGCTGAAGATGTTTAGCCAGGAGTGCCAGGCTACGTAGCCTTCAAGGGCCTTCCCAGCTGCTTTCCCACCTCTGATCCTCCACAGAAAACATTATGCTAACACCAGACTGACAAAATAGCTATTGCCTTATTTCTTTAAGAGGCACGTATAAATACACATTCACAGAAGGCCAGCGATACCACCCCTCCAGCATTACCAGCACCTTTGACAGCTGAAGTTAAACTTCACATAACTCCCCAACACCCTTTATCAGGCTCCAGGGTGCCTCTGCAGCCTGGCAGACACTTTCAGTACTCTCACTTACAGGACTTCTCACGTGTCCCAGTCCCTGCTGAGGTGGCTGGGCTGCACATCTACAACAGCCTAGTGACAGACGTTTCTGTATGCCCGTCAGGAGAGGGTCAGCAAGGCCAAAGATAAAACCAACAGTGATTTTCCACTGCTTTGTCACTGAATAGGAACCCTATAAACCCTCCATGGTCATCAAAATCAGTTTCTAAGAAAGGACTCTCTCTGAGAACTAACCAGCGTAAACCAGAGATTAGATCCAGCCTCTTGACAGTAAGGTAAACTTGCTGAAAAGCCTCCTAGCTTACAGCTGTGGTTAAAGCAAACTGTCTTCCAGGACAGAAAAATAGAAGATTTTTCCTTCTAAGAATCAGTTATGCAACAGACTCTGGAGGAAAAAGAAACACTGGGAAGAAGACCAAAAAGGAAAATTCAGATTATGAATTTGGTCAAATGTTTCTGCAGAAATAAAGACTAAACCTCTGTATAAGCTCAAGTATATAAGTGAAACGTCACATAATTGTAAATGTGTAATGAGAAGATTATAATCATGGTAATTAGATAATCAAATTCAAAGCCTCAGCAGCACATTGGAAATGGCAAAAAGGTTTATTTTTAGATACTCAATACTGAAAATTTGTGGAGCACAAATCAAATCTGCAATGCATAATAGGCTCTGCTGCTTTGACCCACATAAATTCCTCCCCAGGCCCCTGTCAAACCCCCTTTTCACACTGGTGGCCACACAGGATCTGCTTTCCTCTCCAGATGCTGTTTCCACGTACAGTCTCCCCACCAGAAACAGGGTGGACAACCATAGTTAGAAGCACCATTGCTGGGGTAAGCAAGTTGCTTATTTTTAAGACCATGCACACAGTCTCCTACATGCGACTTTGCCAAAAGGTCAGCTCACTAGCTGCTATAGCACCTACTTCAACTGAGATACAGGAGATGCTGCTGATATAACCAGAATGTCTTGAGTATCACTGGTTGCTAACAGTCCTTAAAAAGGAGACGAGATGAACAAGCCTCCACCACTCTGTCACAGAGCACTGAGCCCAGATAGGTCAGCCCTTCCTTTCTCAAACTTTCTGCCTACAGATGCACAACCCATGGGGACAGCCTGCTCCACAGCCATGTCTCTGCTCTCTAATCCCTATAGCAGGGCTTCTCCCTTCTTGTCTGCCTGTTTCAGATAGGCAGCTTGGAGTTCTGAGCAGATTGTTTGGTCCCCCCACAACCATTTCAGCATACTAGTCCCTGACTCCAAAATAACCTGCACAGGGATGGTGGCATTTCCACAGAGACAACCTGCCACTGCCAAACAGCATATTCAAAACTTTAAAAGCATTAAAATCTTCAGGAAGCAAAGGCTATGCTCCTTCAACTTTAAAACAGGCAATTCAATCATAACAGTAATTTCAGACTTAAGACTTCAAAAAAACTGTTGCAAAGCTAGTGCACAGCTCTCTGTTGTGTATGGTTCTTTCAACTGTGATGATGCAAAGCACTTTAAGAAGACCAAGCATACCAAAAGAGATGCCACTCAGTGATATTTTTGTTGTTACAAAAATAGGTTGAAGTAGAATATGAGAAAGATTAAGACAGAAGAGGACAGGCAAAGAAAGCCAAATCCTTTCCCCTGTGACACTCCTGGCCCATTGGGCTGATGTTGGAGAGTTCCTGCAGCCTTTGTGAAGAAGGATTCACCTCCCATCAGATTGCAGACTGGAAACAGTCCAGTTCTGATATCAAGCTACACCAGTGCTCTCAGCCAAAGAGGGAGGCCACTACCCAGCCACAGTGACTCTTCCCTTCCCTAAGCCCAGCCCCCTGTCAGAAGCCACATTTCTGGAATGTTTTATAAGACCTCAAATTCATAATCTCTTTATGAGTTGCAGTACCTGTGGCTTTTGAATCATCCAAAGAAACACTGGAGAAAACAGGCAGGAACAACAGAGCTTACTAAGGTAAAAGCATAACCAGTCCCTGAAGTCCATCATTCTTGATATTAATTTAAAACTATGTGCTGATTTTGGCTGAGGTAGAGTTAATTTTCTTCACAGTTGCTAGTATGGGGCTGTGTTTTGGATTTGTGCTGAAAACAGTGTTGCTAACACAGCGATGTTTTAGTGACTGCTGAGCAGCCCTTGCACAGAGAGAGCCAAGGCCTCTTCTGTATCACCCCACCAGTGAGTGGCTGGGGGTGCACAAGCAGCTGGGAGGGGACGCAGCTGGGACAGCTGACCCCAACTGACCACAGGGATATTCCTGACCATATGACATCGTGCTCAGCATGTAAAGCTGGGGGAAGGAGAAGAAAGAGGGGACCTTCAGAGTGATGGTGTTTGTCTTCCCAAGTCACTACTACACATGATGGAGCCCTGCTTTCCTCGAAATGGCTGAACACCAACCTGCCATGGGAAGTGGTGAATTAATTCCTTCTTTTGCTTTGCTCATGCATGCAGCTTTTGTTTTACATATTAAAATGTCTCTCTCTCAACCCATGAGTTTTCTCAGTTTTACCCTTCCGATTCCCTCCCCCATCCCATCGGTGGAGAAGTGAGTGAGCAGCTGTGTGGTGCCTAGTTGACAGCTGGGGTTAAACCAAAGCAAATTGATAAAACACTTTGCCAATTTAGAAAATTCAGGTTTGATTTCTTCATTCTGTTGAGGGTAGTAATCAAAGCTGTATGGATGGAGAAAGCTCACACAAGGTAAAAGCTGTATGGATGGAGAATGCTCATACAAGGTACACTTCACCATTCAGATTTTAGTTGCTGTTTGGCAGCTCTGGTCTGCCTTTCCAGCCCTCTGTGGTGGGAGAAGGAGGTCTATATCATGGTTACTGATCTCAACTTTAGTCCAGTTTTTCTAGCACTCACATTGCAAAGCTGGGTGTACACTCACATCTATGTTTCTGTACCCATACCTCCTTCTCTCTCTCTCACCACCCCCACCTCCTACAGACACTCACACTCCCAGAGAGGCATGCAAATGGGACCAGAATTTGTCCTTTGGTGATTCAGAAAAATTCTGAGAAGTTCAAGAAAAAGAAAAATAGTAACAGACAGGCCACTATAAAACTACGGAAATAAAAACCTAAGTTCAGTAAGATAGAGTCTAAGCCCTGATATGCAATAGAAATTATATGTCAAGGAAGCACAGCCCCAGACATCCACTTCGCTATTTTCACAATCATAGAATCATAGAATCATAGAATAGTTAGGGTTGGAGAGGATCTTAAGATCATCTAGTTCCAACCCCCCTGCCATGAGCAGGGACACTACACACTGAACTTTGTCGCCCAAGGCTCCTGCCATGGAAAAGTGTCCCCTGCAAAAATTTAGCTAGGTAAGATCACAGTCCCAGCTGCTGTCCGTATTTCTGTAAAAGGAACATCACTCTGTCTTTGCTGCACGGAAGACTTATCAGTAGCAGATACCATGCAAGGCCTCAAACAGATAACAGGCATATTATCAGCAGTGAGCACAAGACTCTTTCTCATGAAAGCCATGCTTTTTTCAGCAAGCTCTCCAGACATCCCACTTGAGGTGTGAAAGGCCTGGAAACTGCTACGGCCACTTCTGCTGTTTCCATGTTAGCTATCCGCAGAGAAGTGATTAAACTGTTGCAGTGTGCTCTGCATCTTACTAAGAAAAATCTCAGTGTTCTCACATGGCAACATTTTTTCAACACTCAAAAATACTGCTGCACTACCAAAGCCAAAATATTTTACTGCACTCACTGCTCCTACACATGCTCCTGTATCTAAGTACAGGCCACAAAGTGCGATTGTTTCTGTATGGTAACAGCTGGGCACTAAACATTTCCAATACTCCTATGGTGAGCTCACAGGGCATTCACCAGCACAGAAAGCATCACGGAGACCAACAAATACTTTAGGTCTCTGACTCAGTTTTATAGAATAAACAAGCCTTTTCCACTTTCCATCCTCACTGCCTTCAGCAGAACAAGATTCATATCAGTACAAATCTCCCTTTGTAAGTAGTTTCAGTGTAGTGTGCTACTGCCTGAGTGGGAGGCCCTGCAATATGGCCAGGTGTCCTGCTTTCAGTCTGCCTTGAGGACGCTAACGTCCAGCAGACGAGTGTGAGGGGTAGAAAGGAGCAAGGACATGGTAAGCTGTCACATTAAGGTTTATCAAATCTCATATTTTTATCCTCCTTTTTTTCACCTCTCCCTTCTTATTCTGAAATTAACAAATACCCACATGGAAAGCGTGTGACCCACTCTTCATGGAACTGAACTGCAGAAATACTAAAGGTGTATGAAAGACAACCTATCTGCATACTTTTCCATGTACTATGAAATATACCCTGTGCTCTTGCAGTCTCATTCACCCAAAAAAAGGGGTACAGGAATGATCATGGATACAATGAAGTACAGATTGCTTCCTCCTCCTCTATCTGCGTTGCTTACCTTCATTAACTGCATGAGGCTTAATAATGCAACAAGTACAGTTTGTGAATTTTGCACTGTTGACTGGTCCACGACCTCCACTGGAGGGAAAGAACAACTCCAGCTCCTGAAAAGAATTGTAATTGAATACATTTTAGATTGATCTAGCTGCATACATCAGCCTTTATCATAAGTAACAACATCTGAAGTATTCATAGTCACAGAAGATAAACCTTAATTATATAGATTTTTGCACTACAAATACTTTTTCCCTATAATATTCTCTCAAATACGTCTTTCCCTCTCTGGCACCATGGCTACAATCATAAAAACATGACTTGAATTTTTCTTGCAATGTCTTTCCACTTCTGCAACACAATCCATTTCCATTCAGAACATCCAAAATGCTGCTGCTGCCACAGCCACAATCATTTGGGAAAGGTATTCCCAGTTTTCTAAATTCTCTCTCTTTCCTCAGTATCTTTCCCAAATCCACTCCCATACATGCATATTTTATCTTCCCTCTTTTCACATCATCTTTTCCATTATATGAGCAAGTATGCAACGACCATCCATTGTTCAGTATGTTTTCTTTCCATATACAAAGCTGAGCTCTATCCCGTTTGTTTATATTCTTCTTGTCTTAAATGACTAAAATTCTTGACTCATTCCTCATGCCTTAGTGACACTATTTTTATTTTTTTTTTATCTTACTGAATTTGAGCTGATGAACTCAATTGCTCTGATTTTGGGATGAATCTCTTTGCCTCCAATCACTTCCTTTCTTCCCACCATCATTATTCAGGTACCATAGAGCTTGGGTCTTAGACCTTACTGGGGTGAGCCTGACAGCCAGGTTTCTTTCCTCAGTGATATTTTTTCACTGTTTACTGCCAGCTTCACACTTTTTCCATACCATTTATTCACATATGTTACACAATCTGCCAATTAAGATTAGTCAAATGCTCAGAACGCAGATTCCACTTCACACCTATTGGTCAAATTCAGTAAAACTTGATCAGTAGATTTCTATTTAAGGGAAATAATAATATCCTGGGAATACTATTACCAAATCTATTTGACTTTTTTCCTGTGTAACAATAGCAGTGCTAAAGGCCATTTCCTGAAATTGTCTCATTTAATTTACTAGCTTGAATCAGATGGAATAGACTTAGCTATCTGCCAGTCTTTAGCTCATGAGGCTCTGACAATTCCTGTAATCCTTATTTGAAAACAATTACACAATTCAAACGAATGGATCTTTCAACAGAAGGGAAAAAAAATTTCGTTTTTCTCCTAGCAAATAATCCACATTTTAATTAGGCACATCTGAGACAAAAGGGCTCATTTCTTACATCCTTCTACTGATAAAATGCTGCATGCTCCAAAGACTTTGTCCCACTCTGTTAACTAATGTTTATTCTAAAAGAAGGACCCAGGAAAAAGCAGCAAAATATTTCCAATACTTAACACTTTGTTTTATCCATTAAAAGGATCATCAAAGGAAAATAACGTAACAATGCTGAAGCACTAAGATGATGAAGTGACAAACTATAAGCAAGTGGAGGCTTAAAAAGAAAATTGTTTTCCATTCCCTTTACTTTTGATGTAAAGAAACTCCAAAATTTGGCCTGCTGAGAGTTACCAGCTTAAAGTATACCAGAGGCATACTTTCACATGTCATTTAGCCACAAAAAGAACAATGCAGTCTTCCATTTTAACTGTTCAGTTTACAATGTATTCATTAAGTGTGGCCAAGACCAGTTTTCCTTCAGAAGAGTTTGTTTAGGTCCCTGTATCTTATATTTCTTTCTTTCAGCAAAGTTTTGGCAAGCTGCAGCCAACTAGTTTCCACGGCAACTGCTATACATCCATAGAATACTGGGCCTACTAAATTAAAATAGGCACAGGGGGCACAATTTCAGTTGATTTACTGAAGATTGGCATCAGTAATGCCACAAAGATGCACATACCTGCAAAAGTTCAGCATAATAATCCCAGAGTCATAAAAATGCTGTGCATGAATGGGGCCTTCAAATGGCATTTCAAAAATAAGGGAATGCAAAACCAACAACAAACATAAGCCAAAACACTTATGCTTCTAATCAAACTTTTATGCTAATAGATACTCCTTCCTACACTGTCAGTTCAAAAGCTGGCACAGTTGTCACAGCAGTACACAGGAACAAAGAAAAACTTTCTCCTTTATATATGAAGACATCTAGCTATTTAACCAGAACTACACAGGATTTTCTATTGCTTTCCTTCATCAGAAAGGATCGATTTCATCCAAATCCTGCTGACTCTGTACCATCTTCATCAAGTCTGCCACCAAGAAAAAGCACTTCAGGTGCAGCATATGATTTCTTGTCAAAACCAGAGGCACATGGAGAGGATCCAGCAGCCCAAGCATGGTGCAGATATGCAAGATGAGTGCCTGGCCAGCAGAAAATGGCCCACATTTTGCTGTGCCACACAGAAGCTAACCAACTCTCCCTCACCACCAGGATACAATCTCTATGTATATTTTCTAGTATATAGAGGCTGGCAGCTTATTAGGTATTCCACAGCAGGTCTCTTTCCAGTTGTGCTACTGCAGCTGTTCCAATTTTAATAGAACAAAAACTGGGATCAAGGAAGCAACAACTGACATCTTTTCACTGCTGGTCTAGAGCTAAGATACCAGAGCATGATACCAATCAATCATGAGATAAACTTTATCCTTGCCAACATTTATTAGCATATCTACCCCACAACAAGGCACACAGATAGTCACCTCAGTTCTTTAGAAATACTGGTAATATCTATCACCCAGTCCCAGGGCTTTTTCTTAGCACTAAGGAAACACACACTTGCAAACACAGCAAAATAGAACTCAATTCCTCAAAGCCAGGCCCACTGTGCTACCTTTGAAAACACAAAGCAGTATAAAGTGACCTGTTTTCATAATTATTCATTCTGAACAATAACAGCAGAGGAAAGTAAGCTGCAGAGGTCTACAGAGGACTATGGAGGAGAACAGGTAAGCGCAACACAGGATGGCACAAATGATTTTGTTTAATCCGTGAAAAATATCTAAACTAGTTCTGAACTCAAGTGGGGAAAAAAATAAAAGGGATTCCTGACCCAGCTGTTACCAAATAAAGTAAAAGTAAACCTCAGTCAACAAACAGTCAAAAACTTACTTGAGCAGCTGAAGCAACTGAATCTGGGCCATGAGCTGCATTTCTTAGGCCAGTATGTCCAAAGTTCCCTCTAATGCTCTCTGGTGCATCAGTCTGTGCTGCTGCAGAGTTTGCTGGCCCCAGTAATGTTTTCCATTTACAAACTGCATCATCTCCTAAGATTTCCATAGCAACAATGGGACCACTCGTTATGAAATGGAGAAGCTCACTGTAAAATGGAAACAGCACATGGTGATCCATGCTACAAACTGAAACCAACGAAAACGTATGATCCAGTGGAGATGCTCAGAACTCAACTCAGCAACGCCTTGAGCAACTTGATCTAACCTCAAAGTTGGCTCTGCTCTGAGGAGGAAATTGGACTAGGTCATGTGAAGACACTCCCTTCTTATTATGGTTGTAGAAAAAGAATCAAGTAATACAAACTCACTCAAGCTACTGTGTAGCATGTTCAATTTCAAAAGAGTTTTAAAAAGACTGGTACTAGAAAGAGACCTTGTTAACCATTTGTCTGATAGGAACAATTCCTAAGCATGTCTCTTCTGCACAGCAGAATTTCAGGATTCTCACACGACCTGTGTGTTTCCCACTCACGCAACTTCAGTACTGCTGAAGTGGATCCCCATGGATCTCTCCCACAGATTTTGCCCATCCAAAATCCAAAGTGGGAGAGAAGGGAGAAACAAGATGCGGAAAGTTTGTGGGTAAGAGGAGACTTAACTGCAGTTACCACATCCTGGCATAGGCAGAAGTCAACTGACTTTAATGGGATGAATCTGAGTAAGAAGAAGAGATTGTCAGGAGCAGCCAGTCTTCTGTCCTGACCACCTCACATTGAAAACAGCCACCCAAAATTGGAAACCCAAACATTCTATTAAAAAAAAACCCTCCATAACTATAATTCTGTATTTTTACAAAACACACACACCACCAAGCCTGCCTTTTCACTGTGTCTGGACAGAACCAACAAAGGAGAAAGTTGGCTCAATGTTTTTGTACTACTTTCTCAAAAAAAAAGAGCTTTACACAGTTATAATTGTGCACATGTATGCTTCTCCAACTATCTTCTTCCTAATGATCACTTATGCAATGATCAAGGGGCAAAAAGAAAAGAGAAATCCTACTATTCTTTGCTAAAGGAATGATATTAAAACTATAAAAAGTACCACAAAAATAAAGAAACTACACAGGGATAAGCTATTGGGACTCAGGTTCTATTGATCAGAGACTGCTTGTTTAGGTTACAGTTAAATGGCTTACACATACATACACCCAAGAAAAAAGCAATTTCTACAACACTGCTCATGGTTCAGACTGATCCCGAATATTAAATAAAATTTTAAAATTGAATTCTTTAATATGACATTATTTTCCAAACAAGTAGAATTGCTATTTTCCGTACTATCCACAAGACTCACATTGACCAGTGAACTTAAAAACTAAATCTCAATTTAAAGACAAGTAATACAATGCTAAATATAAATGAGTCAGAGATTTTACATTTCGCTGCCTTGAAGATCCTTGCCCTGTTTGATTTGTAATGCTTTATAACTATTTGTTTCTAATTTAGGGAAAAATCCTACACAGAAGATGTAGCCAATAGGACTGTAGAATGGGAGACAGGCACATCACAGTGGACAAAGGCTACAAGTTTCTCAGATAATCACCATTAGCATAGATAGACATCTGTGCAATAACACTACAGGCAAAATTCTTGCTTATTTACCAACATATTCAAGCAGGCTTACTCAGCAAAAAAAAAAGAAGAAGAAAAGAAAAAAAAAAAAGGCAATTCTAAATCCTCCTCTGATCTCCAACATGGTCAGACATAGCCTGGAGCCATGTGTCCATGAAGAGCTTGAGTTTGGACCCACAATAAAACAACTGCTTTGCAGGAGAGCAGCTGGCAGATCCTAATACTCAAACACCTCCTGACAGTACTGAAACCAGGTCTTTTGACCAAGTGAGTGCAAACCCAGGTTCCAACACAGCTGAAAAACACAAGGCAGAGCTGCACCCTCTTCCTAGAAAAGGCAGACTGCCAAATCCAGAGGGAGGAAAGTAGTTGTTTGTTGGCACCCTCAGGCAAAGTAGAAATGACATGACCTCTGGGTCATAGGTATTGGTCTGGTCAGTTACAACAAGACTAGGTTTTTCATGTTAGGTGGAGCAGTCTAGCACCATGGAAGTTCGACATTTTGTCCAAAAGTAGCAGTACAGTAAACAACTACCCCATGCACTATCCTTTCAGTTACTTTCAATTTGGGGTACTTGCTACCAAATCAATTCTCACAGCTAAGCATTCCCCCTAATTGTCATTATCTTGAAGCTCCACCCTGATCCTGAAGATGCTCCTTCCCTTGGCTTTGAAGTTTTGCCCTGCTAGGAGCATTTTCACTCCTGGGAGACGAAAGACATTGCTCTGATATTATCAGGCTCTAAAGAGTGTGAGTTAAAACCCTGAATAGCTGAAATAAGGATCTGTCCCTTGAGGAAGATGAACAGGGTGCATGCTTTGCAAAGGGCTCTACTCGACTAAGAAAAGTTCTGATTTTCCCATGGTCCTGCAGTACCAAATATGGTAAATGAATCCCATGCATTCATTAAATAAGCTTAATACATGTCAAGATGAAACTGATATACCTACTTATAAAAAGGTTTTGATTGATGGTCTACGTAGAAATCAGCTGCTTCTTTTCTGAAAAAGATAAATACAGTTATATACCACACACATATATATATAAACACCTCCCTGAAAAACACAAACTATCATTGATTAGCATGTTTCCACAGGTAATGTCTTCCCCAGCTGGACAGTTTGTGGGATGTTCATGCTCAATAACAGAAACTACATTTAATTTTCTGTCGTATTTTGTGTGGCTACAGGTGTAACTTGTAGCTGACTCCTCCTTATGCCTTATGCTCCTGCTCTGGGAAGGAACTAATTACTGAAGCCCATAGCATGGACTTGCAAGGTCACTGATGGTCCCCACTTTCTCAGTTTGAGAAATAAATGCAGTAGAGTCACCTTGCCAAGCCATTCACTGTTAGGTCGTTTTCATCTTTCATCTCAGTTTGAGTGTGTACGTTGGTTAATGAAGTTTGGTTTTAAAGCATAAATAAAGAATTTAACTGCTTCATTAGGACTAATTTCCTTATCAAGGCTAGTGTTTGATTATTCTGGTGCATAACAAAATATTGTATAACCTGATTTCTATTCAGAATCCTCAAAAGTTAAAAGTCACATCAGCAGCACAATGCCCTTCAGATTAAAACTTGCTTTCTCCCACATTTTCCCACTTGAAAACTCAATTTGGTCTTGCACTTTCCCTGACAGAACACAGCAATTATTACACAGTGCTTCCTCCCAGAGCAATGGGGTTTCTGTAATGGGGCAACTCCTTCCATTGCCAGGCAAATAAAGGCCATCAGGCATATGTCTGTACCACAGCTGTTACTTAACCTTTACTCAGGCGCTGGAAGAAAAAAGATACCTTTTCAGACAGGGTGGTGGCGCCCCTCCAAGTTCTGCGTTGCCACAGCCACGCTGCTAGCAGCACTGGGCCCAGCTACCCAGCTACACAAGTTTCAGGGACCATGATGCAGACTCAGGATCCATCCACAGGTGGGCACACCATTTCACCCCACCATGCCCTGCAGCTAGCCAACCTACTCTCTTCCCTGCTTTTTCTCCAGCTGCCTCTCATACTTAACCCTTGCTTACAGCACTTTTTCTGCATGGCAACCAATAGAAAAATCCATGGAGGTTTTCAAGTCTAAAGATGTCATTTTTCAGCTTCAAAATTCCACTTTAGAAGTGCAGGCTCGGTCTTGGCTTGCTCCATATCCTGGTGTGTACCACTTTCTGGAGCTGGAATTTGTGGAGAAGGACAAGCTTTTCAGGACGATTGACAGGTGAAAGATAGCAAAACTGCTCACCCCTACTCTGAATATAAAGTTCCTAATCAAAGCAGAGCTGCAGGGAGAATAAAAGATTCCCGCTTGGAAAACTGTTTTTACCTGCAGAAACAGTCTTTTGATTTTTTTCTGGTCTCCCTGATTTTGCCCACTTTGAGCAGCTGTCTTGACTGGAAGAAATTACCTGAAGGTTTTTCAAGTAACAGATTCCAAGTATGAACAAAGGCACAGTTCTGTCAGCTGCAATGGAACTTTTCACATCTCTCTCTCATTAGCAGTCCAAACTTAAGCCAAATATTGCCAGAGGAAAGAACCTCAAGAAAAACTTCAGGAGACTTTAATTTTCCTAACCTTGACAAATATTTGAACCGTCACAGCTTCCTCCAGCTTTTTTATCAAAATGACCACCTGCTCACTGGAATTGAACAATTCCTGGCTTGTTGCTTTCAGTTCAGTGTAAGTATGAGCTATTCAAAATTCAGAAGATTACCATTGACCATACAGCTAATATGCTTTCCTTTCATTTCATAACTAAGGCAGAAACATAATTTAAAAATTATGCTGGTCACAGAAATTCCTGCAACCTCAAGCTTCAAACCTACGCTCTGTAAATAGCCTGAAGTTTTTGCTTAGAATTCACTATTTCATCAGAAACCCCACTTCTGAAACTAATCCACCAAATAACTTTGGATAGCAAATATGAAAGAGGTATGCAAACAGATTACGTATCATCATTTCTGAACGTGAAGAAATATTTGAGGAATCTATTTCTGAAACAAATCGAGCTCTACTACTCAGTTAAGAATTCCTACTGCAATAAATATAAAACTGCAGTTGTGATGTATAACAGTTCCTTTTCATTTCATCTCTCTCATTAGTTCTCTGCCTTTAAAGAATGGAAAACAGTGTTCATCTGGGAATAATAGACTGAACTAACATACGATTATGTGAAGAGACTAGAAAGCTGACCTATCAAAGCAGGTGCCTGCCCTCACTTTCATACCTTGGCTACAATTTTTACAGAAGGCATGAACCTACTTAACAGTGATTGTAAAACAGATGTCAGTAATAATCCATTTAAAGAAAGCAGAAGATGATGACGCTGGTTTGAACAAGCATGCCTGCAGAGATATAAAGGTTTAAGACTTTGGCAAAGCCATATTTCTACCATTTTAAAATGGCACAGATCCAAGGAACAGAGTATATAGTAAGCAGAGAAACCACAAATAATCAAGACTTTTTTTTTAAGTATATCTAGCACAACTCAATCTTGTGCATTTTAACAACTGTTTTCAATTATACGAGACAAGCAGGAATTTTTATATAGCAATAGGCAATGAAAGTTCAAATCTCAAAGTTATTTCTCTTCAGTGAGTCAACTCTAAACCACGTGATTTGGCTCGGCAGTTCTTCAAGTTCTCAGACAGATGCTGAAATAAAGAATGACCCAACACAACACTTCAGGATCAAATTTCTCAGACTGCAGGTGAGCAAGCAAAAAATGCTGGCTTGAAAGAGACTGTCAATTGTAAATCAGCATTAGAAACCTGACTGACCTCAAGAACTGGAGTTTGAGGGAGGATCTGGGACCAGTATCGTGAAACACTGCAGCAGATGAATGCAGAGACAAGAGGTGGAAGTCACACAGTTGTTTTATCAGCATTTCAGAATGCCAAAAAGGTTCTGAGGTCGGAGAAAATTGTTCCTAACCTCATACATAAACCGTAAGAACACATGAACATGGTATTATGTAGAACAGATAGCTTTTCTTTTCATAGACAACTTGTATACGAACAGGCTTGGCAAAGGAGCAATGAAGAAATAAAGCAGTAACTTTGGGGATATTGTCTAGGGTAAATTAAATATGTTTTCTTTCCTCTGCAGCATGCCTCTTTTTTGAAATCTTGTGGCTCAATTTGATAAGGGAAGAACAGTGAACATTAGGGGGGATTAGGAAGATGCAAAATCTCTCCAACCTTGCAGAAACATCAGAAGATCACTTTCTTTGCCTGAGACTTCCAGGGATTAAAAAAACCACAAACAAGTTTGGGTCTGAGAGCACAAATTAAGTTAACGGATTTACTGAGAGCAAATAAACCAATGCTTTTTTAAAGTCAACCCAATTATAATCAGTATGGTTTGTATCAGGAAGCCATGAGGTGAGAACATACAGACATGTCAGTAAACACTGCTGAATTGCTATAACTATGGTAGTCACTTTGGAGTGACCAAAACAGAGACATTACGCATTTGATCACACCAGGCTCTTTTGCACAGAACTTTTTAACTCTTAGCTTAATTCTCTACATGCTTTCAGAAACCTACATGATTATGAAACTGATGAGTCTCCCCTCTGTAATCCATTGGAATGGATTTGATGTGCGGAACAACAGAGGATAGCTTCAGAGAATGTTCTTGTCTGCAAAAATAACATTTAGATACAACAGAGCTAATCTTAAAAAATCCTTACCTTGAAAGCAACATCATTTTGGCTTTAGTTATTGTAAATCCTGCATTAATAATGATATCAATTAATTCTCCAATCTTGGGCACTGCATCAGGTTTAATCAAAGCCAGTGTTCTGGGAGAGAAAAAAAAGAGAGCAATACAGCCAACATTACTTTCCTTAGAGCATTTGCTGTGCATGTTGAGTTAATATCCAGACAAAAAAACATCACATCAAAGACATAAATTCTGCCACGGTCGAACATCCCAGTCCCAGTGTTTCATCAATTTCCACGCTGTTCTTGAATGCCTGCACAAGACATTATTTTGATAAGAATGAGCTTTGCACATTACAATTTCCTCAGGTTTCTAACCCAAGGCAGCCCAGAGTGCCAGCAGTCTTTATTTACTGACTTCTCCCTTCCCTCTCAGAGCATACAATCCGACCACTTCTTCCTTAGCTACTGTATATCCCCTACAGCTCCTCAGTCATGGCTCTGGGTTAGAACACAACTGTTTTGTTAATGTCTCCCTACACTCGCTCAGTTCCCTTTTCCCCTCATTTTAATTACTATCTACATAAAAATGAAGCTGTTAAAATTCCCTATTTAAAAATATTACTTAAATCTGTGTCTCTTTAAAAAAAAAAAAAACTAAAGTGAAATGATTGTTTTATTACTACTTTTAAAATATTTGGAGGCCTCGGTGAAAAAAAGGTCTTAATGTTCTTGGTACAGTACAAACACAACGGTATACAATCTGCATGCCAAATAGCTGACACTGTTAATAGACACAACAAAAGGTTGGCAGAGGAGGTATTATGTCTCTTATACTGACTGACAGCTATATTCTAAGGGAGACCAATCAAAAAATTTCTACACTCTCCCCCACATCTTTGTTTCCAAGTACATCCTGTCTTCTAGATAATTATCTTTTTATACTATACATCTCCAAGTCCAGGACTGTTTTATTAGCGCACTTGCATAGCACCGAGTACACCATCGGCGTTAAACGTATTATTAATCAAAAATAACAAGCACAAAAAGAAGGTCTGTTAAATGGCATCTTCTATTTGCACTCATCTTGTGATGAGTCAGCTTCAAATGTGCTCAGCTTACAAATCAACAGATTTATTCAACCCTGAATCTCAGAAACTCCACGTCCCCAAGAATCCTAAAGAGCTCTCTCCATCTTTTACACTGTTACAAATAATGAAGGCTATCTGAGATAGAATTTTTCATTGCAGTATTTCACTAGATGAAAGGCAAAATAATTGCAAATTTCTCATTTTATATACCAGCATAGCAATGGAAAGCTGCCTTTAGGTTAGCAGTAATATATTCTAGCCAATGCAAATATGCTGAGATTGCAGGAGATGGATGAACTTCCACAGCATTTACCTTGAACTGTAAGTGACCCCAGATTGACAGATGCTTTAGGAACAGATAGAGATTATTTCACAGCAAATCTAAAGGAAGGGAGGTGTTAGGACCAGGGAATGTAATGAGGAAGATTTGAACATATGCGACATTTCATCTGAAACCAAGGGGGAGACATAGATGATCTTCAGAGCTCAGAAACGGAGATTTCCTCAAGCACCAGGAAGCTCATATACATGGACCAGCTTAGGCTCAGATCAATTAAGAAATACAACACCAAAAGACTGAAGGACTAAGGATAAACTGCATGACTGTAGTCAACCAAGCCCACGCTTCAGTTCATTGCAGTGCAAACTAAAGTTGGTTTAGCCCCATCATCAGATCAGGAAAGGCTGACCTCTGGCCAACGTTCAACACAGTTCACCAGCATACTTCATGCAGCCTACGGCCCATAGCCTGTTCATCTCTTTCGCAAGGATTTCGCAGCTCCACTTCACTTTGTGATATTTATCATACGACAGGGTGTGCCACATGCATCAAGGCACATGAGGGGGAGCAGCTGTGAGCTTGACTGATGACACATGGTCACAAGGTGCATGACCTGCATCCTAGCAGAAGAGGTTCTCGATTCTGTTGTTTACCATGAACATTAAGGAGCAAATCACTGAACACGATGTCTAGTGCCACTTGCATTTCCTTGAGGACTACTTTTTTGAATCTATGTTATTACACAGGCTATTTGAGACAGACTGCTAATGATAGAAATAAATTGTCCCTTACTTTTCTATTTCAAGCTTTCTCGTAAAACTAATTCCCACCAATATGTAATAAAATATTGCACTATGAAGCAATTTACCTACAAGTCATTAAGGCAAACTGCAATTAGCAACTCTTATAACACCTTTTCTCTAACACTGGTAATATAAACTTTAACATTTCAGTGTGAGCTTCTCAGAGGTATGCAAGGTAAAAAAAGTATAATTCAGGATGCGAAAGACTTTCTGAGATTGGATTTTGATTCATGTGCCCTATTTTTAGTTTTAATGAGGAATGTGTTTCTTGTGGTTTAACATGATGTACTCTGTAAAGTACATTTTGAAACAGTTTTGTGTCTAGGAATGAAGGAGAAAGAATGAAAATTAAGCTTATTTACTTAAATTTTCAGAGAGACTGTATGACTGTACTGCAGTGAGTACTGAAACAACAGAAGATGGGAAGTGATCAAAGGAATGATGCACAAAGCATGCTGTGGCTATGCTTCTGAGATATACTTATTTCTAATAATAGGACTGTTGCATATACAGTAGCTTATGTCTTGTAGGGGAAGAAAAACTGATTATCTCAATGACAAGAAGCCTAAGAATAACGTATCTCAATCAAAAAAGAATTCAAGTATTTTTGGTTGAGACATAAGCTTTCTAACAGCATTTTCAAAACCAGTGATATTAAGTGACTCCAGTGTACTCAGACAGGAGGCACTAGTCAGACAAATGTTTATCTCAGGTTACAACCACCCTGGATCACAACGAAAGACTACAGAAAGAGGAATTCCTGTCCCATGCCAGTGATTCCTTTTGTGGTACACTGTAAGTAAGCACAGGCTTACTTAATAATTTTAGTGACGGTTTCCTTATGATACCCAGGGAGGGAAGCAGGGAAGACAAACGCTCAAATATGGCTGTATTTAAAAATTGACCCAAGATTTAAAAAAAGTAGGTGTAGAAACTGGAACTTGATAGAACTGTCTTAATAATTTTAGCCTAATTCTAGAAAGGGCCTGTGCAAATCTAGCCTCTTTTTACACATCTATTTTATACCTCATGTACTTAGAGTCACATTCACCTGCTTTGTTTACAAAACCAAAGGTCCCTCATTCAAAACATTCAAGATTTTTTATATATACTCCTCAATTTCCCTCAAAGCCTTTGCTGAGCCTGCCTACATACAAATTCAGTGACTAAAGAAAGTATTTCAAAACCCAAACTAAACTGCTGATAGTCGTATACAGCACAAAGGCAAGAAAAAGTCAGGGAAACATTCTGCCTTGTACAACATCCTTAAAATTATTAATAGAATTCCAACTACAGATTATTTTAGGAATTATCAAGTATTGAAGAAATTTTATTCTATCTATTTAACTAAGAATAGCTGTAAAAATTGCTGGGAACAGGCCAAAAGGACAGATACCTCATATGCAACTCTTTTGCCCAAGGACTCTTTTAATATGACCCTGCTTACCCAGTGAAAGCTTCTGTAAAGAAATTGGATTTTGAGAATCCCTTGCCTGTTTAAGACACCTTTCACTATGTTCCTTCGGGCTATTCTGAATATGTAACACCGCTTACATATCTATGTTATCTTTCAGACAACATTCCTAAAATATTTTCCAAACAGCTGACATGTCATAAATTCCCTCCCTTCCTCTTGTAGAGCAGTACAAAAATCCACAGACTCCCAGGACCACTTCCTTGACGCAACTATAGTGTTGCTATATAGACAGCGACTTCCCTTACAAGAAGAAAATGTCATTTTATCACAAGCTGCCTTTTCTTGGTATAACTTCATCAGCACCAGGGCTTATGCTAGTTTAGGCAGAGCAGGAAATGCACAACTATAAAAAGTGACATTGATATAAAAACCATAGATAAGACAGGCTCCACTGAGGAACAGAGAAAGCAGCCACATTTACAGAAGCCACCCTCTGGTGTTCTCCACCTCCTTTACTACTCTTCCACCATGCCAAACCCCAGCTTGGAGAAAAAGTACCGGGAGAACTCCTTCTGGAAAGATATTATAGCAGTCATTTCCACGGCAATGTTTTTTGTCTGGTTAAGCAAGTATGTGTGTTAAAACTTGCAACTCTTCCTATATTTCTGGTTACGTACAACTCTCCAGAAAAAGTTCAAAATAAGACCAGTTAGCAGGAGGGAGCAAGAAAATAGGTGAGCAGGGCTCACTGGAACATGATACCTAAGAAAATACTCTGTGCTCTTTTCAGAAAAATGCTACAGCAAATTATCATAATTTATTAATTTGTAAATTCAGAGATTACTTGCACTGCAGTCAAACCACACTTAAATTCCTTGTAAATCACACACATGGAGTTTAGAAGATGCTGAAAAAATTCTCAGAAAAAATCCTCCATAGTAGGAAAAAACAATGGAGAATGGGAATGGGCCTCTCTCCTGTTACTACTACCAACAGAGTAGATCGGATTGGCAAGGCACTAAGCTTCTGCACAGATCCCAGAGAGGCAGGTGCTAGTTTTGCAAGATCCAGACCCTTAAAGGCCAGTGCTCAGAACTACCAAATTCTGCCCTGAAAGAATCCCCAAATCACAAGAATCCTACTGCTGCCTACCCTAGGGAGTAAGAAGACTGCAGAGGACCCCCTGTTTTCCTCCTCCCCCTCTTCTCTCCCAAAAGACCTTGTGGAGGCAGCAGTTGACAACATGGAGAAGCTGGCCTTGAAGATTTATCAGGTATCAATGGTAGCCATGAGTTTGCACATAAGCTGGGGCCAGTTTGCTTCACTCCAGCTATCAGTATGCCAGATCATTTCAAACTGCATGCAAACTTGCAGCTATCTCCTCCTTTCTCCATAGTAGAGAATACTTGTTTCATTTCCATCTAAGAACAACTACTTTGAAACCCAAACTACAAAGGACGATTTCAAAACACATGCATTCTTACTTCTCTTTACGGCTCCCCAGCTTGCGGGCTGTATATTGATCCCCATAATCCACTAAGGTTAGATGACGGGAAAACACTGTGATTTTGTTGCCCACAAATAAATCCTCAAGGTGTAGGCTCTCATACTTGGTGCGCTTCAGGAAGGTGCGATGATTCTTCACATCATACTGCAGAGAAAAGAACATTAAAATCTGCCATAGCAAGAGAATTAAGCTGTGGGCAAACTCAACATAATTTTTACTCTACCTTCAGAAATTTCCACAGTACTGTGGGATTGAATCTGATCACTAAATTGATTTAATTCCTAACCCTTTGGACTTACAGGTGCACCAGGAAAGCTTAGAAGACTAAACCACAGTCACAAATTTATTCCATTTAAATACTCTCAGGCTAACAGCTATCTTTGCATTTTTCATGTCATCGTTTGTTTGTGCTAATTCAAGCTGTGATAAATGGTTCAGGTGCCTAGTGGATACTTCTGCCCAGACTCACTGCGAGTTCCCCCTAGCAGATCTCTGCTGTTTCACAGACCAATGGCTCACACCAGGAATAATCACGATATGCACTGTGGCAGGTCTCATCTTCAGGGCATCATTCCAATGATACTATGTTTTATTTGACTGCACAAGACTCAGAATTAGGGACGGATGGGTGACTGCAACACTAGGTTGAGACATTCTCACTGCCTAGAGCTGCAAGCTCAAAAGCCTGTCAAGACAATTCAGCTATATAACATCATTCCAAACACGAAGCAAGATGTTAATGTGTAGTTTTCTGGGTGGGCTGGCAAAGCACAATCTGAACAGTTTCTTCACTGCATGTAGATATTACAGATGCCTTCAGTTTCCTGAAGAAGCAGAACCCTATGAAAGGAAGAGTTTTGTCCTCCTCAGGCCAGACGTCCCCTTCTCTGTCTTGAATTACATGCACTGTGCTCCACTGTAATGGTATGTAGAACAGAATAGCATTAAAAGAAAGAACATCATTCCCACAACTTTTGGAGGGGGGAAAAAATATTAAGAGCAAAATTACATACTCCTCCATGTTCTGAAACATGCGAATGTGTTTCTTTCCTGTTAGAAGGCTAGAAGAATAGTAGGTTTTTTCAGAATACCCAAACCTTTGCAGATCAGACAATATAAATTATTTTGATACTTCCTTCTGCTGAGGCAGGATTATAAGGAAGAATCTTTCTCTGCTGAAATGTCTTTAGCCCCTCATACATGCTCCTACGAAGTGTCCTCTAGTGTGGTAGGCAATGAAATGACAACATGCTAAAACAAAAATAAAGAATCGCTTGAATTCAGCTACTTGTTTTTCCCTCGACTTTGCTAAGAAGCTTATTAACTGTCTTGACTAAAAATCTGGACATTTCCTTGGTTATACCACTAATAGTTGCTAGAAAGACACCCTGAGCTGTTTCTCTCTTCTCAAGCAAAAGATTAAGGTGGGGGGAGGCACCTTCCTGAGTTAAAAAATTGTTCTCTAGAGTGGAATTTTGGATATGCTTAAAAGACCATTTTATAAAGCAAATGATGAGGCACAGCAGAAGTAATGTAAGACTGGGCTGTTTCCCTCCTGTCCATGTACTTGTAGAAGTAAATTATGCAAAACAAAATAGTTCTCTGCTAAGAATCTGTTCTTTCTAAAAATTTCTGCTCTCCTTTTAGGAAATCTCTTGTAGAAAGAAAACCTGTCCAGGCTGTAAAAATTCATGTGAGAGTTATTAACTATGGAAACTTCAGAAAATGGGGCGTCTCTTTGTCATGAGACCCAGTTTGATCATAAGAGCTGCTTGCTGTCCTTGTGCAAAAACCTGTACTGTCTTCGTCCAGCTGCGAAGCAAGCTGGAAACTTGCCTCATTATTCCCACTGTCATTTTTCTTCACAGGAACCAAGACATGAAGGTCTAAGAAAGAAAAACAAAGCTGAGGACTTCACACAACACAAGCATTCAACAGTTCTGCTCCACCCTCAGCTGAGTTGTGTGATAAAGGAGAGCTATTGTCAGGGAGGTGGGGAAGGGGATGAAACATCTTTCTCATAAGCAGGAAGAAGCTGGCTCATATCCATTACCTCCCTTATCCTCAGATACGTTAGAGGTAAGAGTGGGCTGTCATCTCCTCAACAAGATACCAAAAGATGCAGAAGAATAAGGTAGTAACAAAGAAAGAATAACTAAATTCTTCAGAAATTAAAAAATGAAAAAATCCAGAAAGAATTCTAAATATAATCCCTGTCCACAAATTCACCACAAAAGTGATTTTGAGACACTCTTGCTATAGAGGTGTTATATGCATTTTTGCTTTTCTAACTCACATCCCGATCACATGCAGTCCATATACACTCATGACTGCATACACACCATATTACCTTAACCTAAGAGCACACTAGCGAAATGCAGAAGTCTACTAAGCCATAGGTATTTGATGCTGAATGCATTAAGAAGCTTAAGAACACCTTGAAAGCTCTTGGGTTTGAGACGTCTAGGTGAAATGAACAACAATTTTGCCAGCCTACACATAGTTGTGTAGGAAGATGATTATGGCTCCTGACTGATTAACTAAACTGTCTCTGGGAAATAAAAACTAAAAATCCTCACATTTTGACAACTGTGCACACACAGACATCATATGAAGAACTAACTTAAAAGGGACAACATCATGATAGAGTTTCCTTAAAGAGACTATCAGTAAAAAGCGCAAAGAGCATCTCCTCCACGCAGGTAGAATACCATGGTTTCAGTGAGCAGTAGTCTGGGTAAGAAAAGACAGATTCCACTAGCTTTCTTATTTCTGCATTTGATATTTATAGCAGGAAAACTAAAATTTGATAATAAAATTACAAACTGTGAATACCCAAATCTAGGCTATTCTCAGACCCTTAGATCTTCATTAGAAATTAGAAAACACTAGTCCAAACCATTCATTCCTAAAAGGAAGCACAAAGCATTGGTTAGTTT